GAGAGAGAGAGAGAGAGAGAGAGAGAGAGAGAGAGAGAGAGAGAGAGAGAGAGAGTTAATGAGAAGCAGTGAGTGGGAGAGCAAAGTCTCAGAGGTTTCATCATGGCCCTTTAGTGGGGAGTCCACTGAATATAAGCCCTGAGGTGGCTGGCTGACGCAGGACCATTCCTACAGGTTATTTTATTGCAACTCAGAGTAGGACAGACACTCTACCCCGTGCTTGGCTTTTTACATGGGGGCTGGGGATCTGAACTCAGGTCCTTGTGCTTGTCTCACAGGCACTTTGTTCACCTAGCCACCTCCCTAGCCTAGCTATTCTCTTGAATTTCGTTTCTCCTGACTGTAATTATGTATTCAATCCTTTCCCTTGTGTTTTTGAGACACTGTTCTGCTCTGTAGCTCAGGATGGCCTACAGCTCATCTTCCTCCTAGCTTTAGAATATGATTAGAGTGTCTTCTGTGCTATTTCATGACAGAATAATCAGCCTAGTCCTGTAAGTTTCCTATACTTGTTGTTGTTATTATTTTCTTTTTAGAGTCATTGAAACTTTGTGTAGATCAGGGTCGGTGCTTTTGAGTTTAGACTCTGATGTTTGTTGGCTGAGGCCCCTTTCTGACCCAGTTTCTGTGGCCTCTCTCCTGTTCCAAGTAAACCACCATTATCAACATCCTTTGCCATGGGTTCTGAGCACTGCCTTGGGGTCCCGGGAGCACACGGTTCTGACAACATAGACTTCTTACAAAAGCAGAAGGAGTGTGGGCCTCATGGGTGGGTGAGAATTTACAAACGTTCCTGTTCCTGTGGGTGACATTTGTTTCTACAGGAACAAGAGGTTGCCTTCAGTCTAGCCATTTAGGGGATGTATAACAAGCCTTGTTTTCCCAGGAAGGTCGGCTCAAGGCTAGAAGCAACAGTGTTTTCAGTGTTTCTCTGCAGGCCGGGGAGGCTGGAGTTTCTGTGGGATTCTTGGTTCTCTTGGCTCAGATCCTTTTGTGGTTAAGATTTACTTATATGGCATAAAATTTCAGATATGGATCATTTAAGATGGTCCTCAGTTCTGTGTTTCCTTACCAGATCTTCAGAAACATTTGAGCACAGAATAGCAGTTATCATGATGTTCTGTCAAAGTTGTGGCCATCTTGGACACGGTTTTCTGTGTTTTACGAACCCAGGAAAGCCTTGGCTTCGGAGAGGGTGAGGTAGTTGGAATAACATCCTGGTGTTTTGGTGGTAGTTTCTGTACAGTGAGAACGAACTGGTTAATCTTTAACATGCGTGGCACTGATTGTGCTCGCATGGCCTCTGCTCTGAGATGCTGCTGACTGCCAGCGCAGTAGTTTTAGGGAAAGATGTCTGCCGCTGGCATAGGCTGTTTCTTTGACCATTTTAAAAAACACCAAGGATTCAGCAGAAGGATAGACCCTTTGCTGCATTTGTGTGATATAATCTACACCACCAGTTGAGTGTTAACTATGTACTGGGCACTAGGAGTTTTTACCTGGTGATCTTTTGCCATCACCTAGTAATAAGCTTTAAAACATTTCTTGTTTTTTATTTCTTTTTCTTTCTTTCCTTTTTTTTTTTTCAGATCCTGATAGTTGGTGGTGGCGTTGCTGGGCTCGCTTCCGCAGGGGCAGCAAAGTCGATGGGCGCAGTTGTCCGAGGATTTGATACAAGGTGAACACTTAACTAGTGATTAATATTTAACTAAAAACATTTGTTTCAAAGGGGGCCTATTATATTAGAGATTATAATGGTTCACTGAAGCTTTTCTCTTTGCGCTTTCCAATTAAATTTTCTTTTTTGCTGTTTAAAAGTTGGCTCAATAAAAAATTTATTATCTACTAAACCCTCCCCCCCCAGAAATAATGAAGTAATTGATAATTAACAGGCCATAGTTCTTTGTGTACATTGGCAATGGGACCAGAGTTATCTCTAGTGAACTTGTAGTTTTACTCTGTCCTTTTAATGTTTAGAATGCTTTTGGGTACTAGGCAGGCCATGAGCAAAGCTAACAGGTATGTTGGGAGGAGACTCTGTCTAGCATTAAGTGGATGGAAACAGAAAAAACTGACATCACAGACTCCAATACTTTTTTACTTGGTGAGACTGTGGATTGTACAAGCCAGGCAAGCACTCTGTCACTACAGATCCACCCTTTCACATCACTTTTTGCCTAGGAGAAGCCACACAGGAACTCTAATTGGAGTATTTTTGCAAGGGCATCTGGCTCAGACAAGGAGAGGGCTATTTTTTTTTCTGAAACTTATTGAACATGTAGGAGAAACCATTTTTCTCTGTGTGTTGTACCTCTCTAAGATGGTCATAAAACATTTTCCTCCATTGTTTGCCAAGAGAAGTTTGATTAAGGTTCTTTCTCATTGTTGAAGATGCTAGATACCAGCATTTATTAAATGCTTATCGAGTCCAGTTATTATTTTGTTATTTGATTTTTTGGGGTTCATTATAACTTTATTATAAGTGAGGGCACCAGAGCGGTAACGCGGCGGCCGGTCTTCTCTATTTATTTTTCAGTGCTGGAGATTGAATCTGGGGCCTCCTGTGTACTCAGCACACGCTCTGCCAACGGAAACTTACCCTTGCACTGCCCAATCACGAATATAGAAAAAAAAAATCAGAGTTGGAAAGAGCGTGACTTTTCAGAACGAAGGTTCACAGAACACGATCAATAGCTCTTTCCTGACCTTAGAGAAGTGAGGTGCTTATAAAATCCACTTCACCTCAATGAGAAAAATGAGGCAATTCCAGAGTAGTCATGACATCGCCTGAGAATGAGAGTCGGGCCAAAAGTGACAAGGCTTCTTTCCCTTTATTTTTAATGTTTGCTGATATGCAGTTTCCAAACCTTCAGGCCTTTAGAGAGTGGATTGTTTGTGGTTTCATCATCATGGATAATGATGTTGAAGTAGCAGTAGACATATTTTGACCTAGAAATGATCTGAAACTCGCTGGGTTAGCTGCTGAGCCTTCAGTGTCATTGTTCATAGTGTGAACGGAGTAGACAGCTAGAGTACAGCTGCTGTTGGGGGGTCTGAGTGAGAAGGACTCCTCGGCTCCCGTGTGTGAATACTTGGTCAGCATTTGGTGGTCAAGTTTGGCAAGGATTGGGAGGTGTGGCCTTGTTGGAGGAGGTGTGTCACGTGGGGCATGCTTTGAGGTCTTAAAAGCCCACACTGTTTCCAGTTAACATTCTCTCTGCCCCATTCGTGGCTCGAGATGTGAGTTCTCAGCTGCTGCTTCAGCACCACGCCTGGATGCCTGCTGCCATGCTCCCCACCACAGTGGTCATGGACTCTGACTCTCTGAAACCGTGAGCTCTAAACGCTTTCTTTTGTAAGCTGCCTGGGTCATGGTGCCTTATCAGAGCAATTGGAAGGTAACTAAGGATCCTACTTCTATTTGTACTTTATTTACTTACTATAAAAATCACCATAAAGTAGCACATTACATTGTATTATAACGGAAGCATCATGCAGCTTGATTACTGTAGGCTCTCAAGCAAACACGTGTTCAGCCACAAACTCCATTCATCTCATTGAATTTCCATCTAGCTAGAATGGCCATTCCGAAGCTGTGTGTTCACGGTTTAATTACCAATTATATTTTTGTGCGCCACAAAAAAGAAGCCATGATGAAGTTGAGACTGGAAAAGCAATGAGTTTTCTGTCTTTCTTCCCTGCTCCCCTTCCCTTCTCCCTCTCACTCTGGCTCTGCTTGCTCCTGCCCAAAGGATTTATTTATTTATTTATTTATTATATGTGAGTACACTGTCGGTGTCTTCAGACACCCTGTCAGAGGGCATTGGATCCCATTACGGATGATGGTGAGCCACCATGTGGTCACTGGGATTTAAACTCATGACCTCTGGAAGAGCAGTCAATTCTCCTAACCACTGAGCCATCTCTCCAGACCCCCGCCTCCCCGTTTTCTATCCTTCTTCATGACTCATGTGTTCTGTTTTTCCTCATCACCTAATGTCGCCCATTTTTGTTCTCCTTCTCAACTGTTACTCTGTCCCCATGCATACATCTCTTTGCATGTATTCGTATTCGTGTATATTTTGTAGATTAGGGTCTGAATCTGAAGAGGACATAAGTTTGTTGGTTTTTTTTTTCTTTCTGAGATTTGGTGACCTTACTTGATATTATATATCTCAAGTCCACCCATTTTCCTGCAGATTTTATGATCCCATTTTTTCTTTTTTTTTTTTTAATGGAAAATATACTTTTTTCGTACTATATATTCTGATCCTCATTTCTTCCCAAGTCCTCCCTATCTCCCCATCCTCCCAACTCCATACCTTCTTTCTCTCTGGCTCAAGAAAACAAACAGGCAAATAAAAAATGAGAAAGAGCCAAGAATAAAACAAAAGGAGCGCCCGCCCACTAAAGTTTAAAAATAAACAAAGAAAGAGAATGAGAAATACAAATGCACATGCACATGCCTATACACACCCACATGCACACACATACACACACGCACGCACACACACATAGATACATGTATACACATAGGCACACACAAATACACATGCATGCACACACACACACAAAACCTATAAAAACACAAAATCAGAAATCATACTATAGAAGCAAAAGACTGGTGAGGTAGAAGATGTCCAAACAGAGCAAAACATCTTTAAAATACCTTAGAACTCCTTTTGTGTTGGCCGATACTGCTGGCCTGGGGCCTGCCCTTACATGTAGCTTGTGAGCCCACTGAGACTCCACTAGAGGAACTCATTCTTCCTTTGTGAGAGTCTGGTATTTGGAGATAGCTTCTTGGTTGTGGATGAGAGCTCCTGTGTCCTCCATCTTGTGCTGGGATGCTGGCCTAACAGGTTTGGACCTGCTGTAGGCCCTGGCCATGCTGTCACAGGCTTTGTGAATTCATTGTGCGTCAGCCCTGTGACGTGCGTGTACCTCTGGTTCTGATGTACTAGCTATTTTCTATTGCTGTGATAAAAACACCGTGACCAAAGCAATTTGTAAAAGAGGGTAAGAGTCTGTTAAGACAGGGTTAAGGCATGGTACCTGAAGCAGGAATCTGAGCATTATGGGGACATTCTCTTTCAAACCACCACGCGTGGTTAATGTATAAAATATGGTAATGGCCATATTTGTAATTGCAGTGAGCGCCTCCCGTGATTTCGATCATTTAGGATGCTTGAGGTTTATCGTAGGGCAGAGATATTGGTGATCCCCACCACTGAAGTCTTTGCTGGCTCCCATTTTCTAAACAGAATCCAGTGATTGGTGGCATTTATTTATTTATTCCAAGCGAAATATATTTTGCATAATCTAAATATATTGGCTCGTTACAATTTTCCTTTGAGACACTGTCTCTTTGGTCTAGACTCTTAGAAATCCTATCCCCCTTCTGCCTCCACCTTCTATGCTCTGGGATTACAGGCACACACCACTACATTCATTTGCTTTCTAAAACCAGTCTACAGACCTATGAGGACTGAACCCCCCCCCCACGCCCCGCCAATCACTTTATTTGAATATTAAAGTATTTCTAATAAAAGTTATTTATGTGGGAAAAATCTCACAAAGAGAACAAACTCTGGACAATTGTAAAAGGAAAACCTCAACTTGTGTGATGCAAGTGAGAGCAAATCTTTTTTTATGATTCATTTATCTGTTTTGATGTATGTGCGTACACTATTGCTGTCTTCAGACACACCAGAAGAGAGCATTGGATCCCATTACAGATGGTTGTGAGCCACCATGTGGTTGCTAGGAATTGAACTTAGGACCTCTGGAAGAACAGTCAGTGCTCTTAAGCGCTAAGCCATCTATTTCTCCAGCCTTTGATAGCAAATCTTAATATGTGTCAGATATCATATCATTATCAGTATGGGGATCAAAAGAAACATCACTGGTGTTGGTAGTAGTGACATTCTTCTTTTTGTTTAAATAGAAATTGGGATTCTTGTTTTTTTCCCCTAAGAAAAAAAATATGTAAGAAATGCCTATGGCTCAAAAGTCATGGAAACAATCAAGCCAGAGATAGCAAACCAAACTCTTGACTTTGAATTCTGTAGGGTTTACTTATAGCAGTGGTTCTCAGCCTGTGGGTTGAGAGCTCGTCGGCAAACCTCTATCCAAAAATACTTACATTACGATTCATTACAGTAGCAAAATTACAGTTATGAAGTAGCAACGAAAATAATTTTATGGTTGGGGGTCACCCCAAAATGAGGAACTGTGTTAAAGGGTTGCAGCATCAGGAAGGAACCCCTGCTTTAAAGTGTTTACATAAATGAGAATGTATCCCTGATCTAATTAACTACTGTTTTCCCTTCAACACTCCAGAGCTGCCGCTTTGGAACAGTTCAAATCCCTTGGTGCTGAACCCTTAGAGGTGGACTTGAAGGAATCTGGTGAGGGCCAAGGAGGATATGCGAAAGAGATGTCCAAAGAGTTTATTGAAGCTGAGATGAAGCTCTTTGCTCAGCAATGCAAGGAAGTGGACATCCTTATCAGTACAGCTCTGATTCCAGGTATGCTGCTTAGTAGCTGTTCTCTTTAAAGAACAAATGAGAATTTGACACTTAAATGAGGGTTGTTTTACTTAGGGTTTCTATTGCTGTGATTAAAAACACCACTGCCAAAATCAGTTTGGGAAGGCAAAGGTTTGTTTTGGTCTACAACTCTCAGGTGACACTCACTGATGAAAGTCTGGGCAGGGAGGGACTCAAGAAAGGAACCTGGAGGCAGGAACTGAAGCAGAGGCCATGGCGGAGTGGTGGTTATTGGCTTGCTCCTCAAGATTCCTCAGCCTGCTTTCTTATACAACACAGGGCCACCTGCCCAGAGGTGGGACCACTCACAATCAGCTGGGCCCTCCCACACCAATCACTGACTAAGAAGATGCTCCATAGACTTGCTTACAGTCTTATGGAAGCCTTTTCTCAATTGTGGCTCCCTCTTCTCAGATAACTCTTGTGTCAAACTGATAACACATATGACACCCACACCCACATACCCCTGCACACAAACCAAATCAACTAGTTCAAGGACGAATAAGTATTTCGTGTTTGAATTTCTTTAAAAATATTTTCAGGTGGAAGATAATTTTGTACTTATGTTTAGGTACAGGAAACTTAGCAGTGGACATTTAACCCCATTTAATGGTGAGTTCTTTTAGCCTTTGCCTTTCCCAGCTTGGCAATACGAGCCACAGACTTAGGACCCAGGATGGTGCCTTCCCAGTGGCGGCGGATCTCATCATAGCTGTCATTGTAATTGGTCTTAATAGCTTCCACCAGCTTAGCCAGAGTACCCTTGTCTTCCGAGTTAACCTGTGTGAAGGTAGCAGCAGTACACATCTTCCTGTGGACCAGGTGCCCCACCCTGGCCTTTCCTTTGATGCTGCAGTAGGGCACCCCCATCTTTCTACACAGGGCAGGCAGGAGGAACACCAACTCAATGGGGTCTACATCGTGGACAGTCAACATTAGCCGAGCCTTCCTGTTCTCCACCAGGGTGGTGATTGTATTGACCTCTAGAGCACACAGCCACTTTGCCTGAGTGTTTGGGCTGTTACAGTCACCACAGGGCAGTTCCAGTAGACTGTGACTTAAGATTAACGAGCTCACTTTCACTCCACAGTGATTTTAGGTGAAGAAACGCAGGCATCGCCGCACATGTTTGAATTTAAACAGAGGGGTTTTGTTTGTGTCTTCATGTAACCACGTTTAGATCATAGGCTATTTTCTTTGTACCACATTGTATTCAGAAGCAGCGTCTTTACTACATTTTTGATAAGGTGCTAACTTGTTTCCCCTTCTCAAGGCACTATGTTTTCATTGTAGAAAAGTGCTGAAAGCTCTAAAGAGTTAAAAGCCAAGTCAGAAATTCCATCAGAGACCATCATGGCTAATATTTTGGTGATAATGTTTCCACGTGACAAAGTGTTTCTGTATATATGCATGTATTTATGGGATCTGTAGGGAATGCATTTATTTAAGGATACGGCACTTTGTTCTTAATATTTTTTGCCAGTTATTATTTTTTTGGGGGGGAGATTTATTTTATGCTCAATTACATGCATATATACATGTCTCTGTGAGTGCAGTGACATGCAAGCCAGAAGAAGGCGTCGAACTCCATGGAGCTGGAGTCAGGGACAGTTGAGAGCCACCTGCCATGGATGCTGGTCCTCTGCCAAGGACAGTGAATGCTCCTAACCACTGAGCTACCTCTCCAGCCCTGACGTGTTTGTCTTGTTCACCAGATTGTGAGGTCCCGGACAGCAGGGATTATTTTTAAATATTAACATTTTCTTTATATAGTGTTTGTGCAGAGCACATAATATCAAACCAATAAACATTTATTGACCAGGAAAGAACAGCTTGATATGGATACATCTTGTACTTTCCTACCTCTTCCCCTGTCCTTTGCTTCTACTGTTGAACGACCAGTAGCATATCGCCTGTGGTTCTTTCTGCTTCCTGAAAGAAAACCAGCGGGAGGATGAGAGCTAAAGGCTGCACGGTTGCTGGCATTTGATTCTGCACAGGCCTCCTCTTCTTTATATGGAAACTTAAACTTTCCTCTTCATGACCTTTGCCTGAGAAATTTTTACACGAGCCGAGGTACAAATCAAGCATTCACCGGAAATAGATCAGTTTTTAGTTTATATGTATTTTTTTTTAGCATTTATTAAGATTAAAGCAAGTTTACATACTAATGAAATGGATATGCTTGTTTGTTTTATGTAAAGAATGATGTTTGGGCTGGGTATTTGATCCTACAGAATCTAGAGCATTTTCAATAGTTTTCAGAGTTGATTGATATTTTCACTTTGTACTTACCAACTCTGAAAGTATTGCTTTGGATACAGAGTACATAGCAGACGACGGCAAACGTTTGCCTAGGGCCATTCAGAAATCGATGGGAATTTTGTTCTTGTTCCAAGCCAAAATTCTTTTATTTATTTATTTATTTTGGTTTGTTTGTTTGAATGTTTGTTTTTGTTACGACTTCTGTTTATACAAATGGTAGATGAGCTGGTTTCTCCAGATTCCACCACCTCACCAGAGCGCTGTTAGATGAGGCAGATAGGCTGGAGGGAGGTATGGGGCCCATCCCTTGGGTGTGTCTCTGAGTGGAGAAATGAGGCTTATGTTTGAGTGTACTTGGAGATCAGAAGCCATTGGATGGTGTTTGTGGAATCTGGCAGCTATGATTGAAATCATATACAAGCCATGGCAGGAGAGCGCCCCAGGACCCCCTTTTGTGACAGTGACTCCCAAGAAGGAATTAGGATACCTGTGCTGTAGCCATCTAACTGGGAGCACCTGCACCTTGGAGAAGGCAGTGCTAGGAGCAGCCATTCAACACATGGCCAGCAGAGGGCACTAAGACATTTACTCATTGAAGGAATAATAAAGACAGGAAGCTGGAAGCAGTAGTCATTTTGTCATAGTATATATTTTTATTATTGATTATAAAGCTTTGAGTGATGCAACTCCGGACCTCTTAGGTGAATATACTGACCTTTTGTGCCTACCTGCACAGCTTGTTTTGAGACAGGGTCTTGTATAGCCCAGAGGGGCTTTGAATTAATCATCCACCTGATTCAGCCTCCTAAATACTGGGATTACAAGATTACAGATGGCCATTCTCTTTCTCTTTCTCTCTCTCTGTTTCTACTCAGTGTATTTTAGTAGAAGGTCAACTGTGTGATAATCTTTTTTTTTCTTCCCTGTGTGATAATCAGAAGACTAGCTAGTAGCTAGAGAGGTTTGGCTAATCTGTTTCACTGCATTTCATATTTTCCGAAGCCATAAATCTTCACCTTACACTTGCAGGGAGTTTGTGGTCAGTACATCGTCCAAGAGTCTGTTCTCAAAAGGCTGTCTGGCTTAAGTCCTGCAAATTAAAAAAAAAAAAAAAGGAAAGTGAAAACGTAGTCAGTATATAGTGTGTGTGGACTGAAATAGTTGTGGAAGGAGATAATTGTTGTGCGGCCTCCACTGAGTTGGGTGGTGAGTTAGAGGTGAGAATTTTACTGAATGCAAGCAGCTTCCGGAATGGCTACTTGTAGTCTCAGTGGTATTCAGTGCAGAGGAGAAAGCTCTCTGTCCCGTCTTTGCTAGATTTACTAAGGGAGAAACTACCTCTGTTACACTGAAAATCTTTCCTGATAGGAGCCCAGTTAAAAATTCATGGTCAGGGCTGGGAGATTGCTTAGTGGGTAGAGAGTCGGCCACCCAAGCACAGGGACCTGAGTTCAGATTCCTGGCCCTGGTGTACAAGCCTGGTGTGGAGACACGTGTACGTAACTCCAGTGCTGGAGGAGAAGGTCACAGACAGGTGTATCCTGGAGAGGTGCTGGCAAATCTGTTTAGCCAAATGGCAGCTCTAGGTTCAGTGAGAGACCCTGTCTCAGAAAAAAAAAAGTAAGGTGGAGGTGGTAGAGAAAGATACCTGATGTTCACCCCTGGTCCCCACACATGGCCTCCTTCCATGCCTGGGTGCACACATCCATATGTGTACAAGCACATGCATACACTGTACACACCAGCATGTGCGTACAGTGTATGCATGTGCTTGTACACATATGTACAAAAAAATCCACGAAGACTGTGATTGCATAGCTTTCTCGCTCCCCAGTCTCCTGTTTCAGGTCGTGCTCTTTTCAGTTCGGTGGCCCGTGGTTCCTGAAAGACCTGAGATTTCATTCAATAACGGTGTCTGCGTCTTGCTCTGCTTAGATTCTCAGCATCATTAGTTGAAGTCCTCTGGCTTGGTCAAAGTTAGATCACAGCCGCTGACTCCCAGTTACCCATGTTATAAAGTTGATAACCTTGGTGATGTGTTTATTGCCCCTCATCCTCCTTGTTCTCATCCTCCATCAGCATCATCATTGCCATCCTCTTACTCCTCCTCTTCTTGTTCTTGATGTTCTTCTCCCCCTCCTCCCCCTCCTGCCCCTCCTCCCCCTCCTCCCCCTCTTCTTTCCCCTCCTCCCCCTCCTCCTCCCCCTCTTCCTGCTCCTCCTCCTCCTGCTCCTCCTCCTCCTCCTCCTCCTCCTCCTCCTCCTCCTCCTCCTTTTTTTTTTGGTCCAAATTTAACTTTTGGGTTTCATGTTAAACTTAATGCTAACTAGTGCTTGCTATCAGTCATGCTGGCAAGTCATCACCTCAGAACATCTAAGGTCCTTTCATAACATCACATATTGCCTTTTCACTTCAACACACCATCCCTGTTCTTTCCTGCCTCTTGAAATCCCACCTATTCAGTTGCTACTTCTACAGTGCCTCTGGCATCCTACTGGGCAGCAGGATGAGCTAGTTTTCCTATAGGCATAGCATCTTGCCTGTGCTTCACATTTCTGCAGTACTTAGCCCCATCCTGCCCTCACTGCCCTGCCCTCTCAGGAGTAAAGTGTCTGTTCCCACCATGTCTGTCATGTCCAGTGCTTGACCTAGTGCTTCATGCACACTAGTGGCTCAGCAAATATTGCTCAACTCGTAATCCTGTATGTGTTCCC